AATAGCAACTCGTTCCATGTCTGGTTTCTATTGTTACATGCCACTTATTGTAGCAACCAGAACAGAAATTCAGAGGCTTTCTACCAGACTACATTGTAAATTGTAAAACTGGAATATTTTAAAATATAATTTACTCAGAGAGACTAGCTTTTTTGGTAGTTTTACATTTTATACGATTGTACACCCTAACCTGTATTCTTAATTGCACAATTTAATTCAATGACAATCTATTCTGTGTGATTTTTGATATGGGGTGCAAGAACATATTTTGAGAACCAAAGGGGTACAGGCTGTAGTAAAGTTTAAGAACCACTGCTTTAGGACATGACTACACTGTGCATAGACACCTATAGCTGGCCCATGCCAGCTGACTTGAGCTAAGGAGCTGCTTAATTGAGGTGCAGACATTCCCAACTCCCCTCACAAGGTCCTAGAGCCCAGGCCTGAATGTCTACACCACAATTAAACAGCTCCTTAGCCTGAGCCCAAGTCAGCTGGCACGGGCCAGCCACTGGGTTTAAATTGCAGGGACCTCTCAGCTAGCCCTGTTCTGGAGAGAAGCCCAGCAAGCAGGTGCTGAGAATCAGCCAACTCAGTTGTACAGAAACTAGTGATTAGGACTGATTTCCAGCTGAAGGATACAAAGGAGAGCTCCAAACTCCCTAACAGAGTTGATAGGATGCTTATTTGTGGTTGTAGAAGTAGAAGGCTGGGAGAAGGGTAAGCTAAAGTAGCCATGAACCCATTAGGTAGGGGTGAAGATCAGACCCTTAAGCTACTAAAGGGCCCCACAATCTCACTCAGGAACTATAGCTTTTTGTTTGTTTGTGTGGTGAGGAATAAACTGAGCCCTGAGAAATAGGCTACAAACTGAACTGTGTATGGCGGAGTGCTTGTTTGTCCCAGGCTAGTGATTGGGTCTACTGGCCTAAATTTCAACAAAGCACAGGCGTAAGGTCCTAGTGAGTAATTCAGTGCAAGCAAGTGTGGCTCATAAGTTGAAAGCCACAACAGAAAGAAAACCTACACAATGCATTGCTTAAGTGAGAGATTCAATCTATGAATCTACATCTTTGAAATCCACTGGAGTTATGAAGTCTCTAGAAAGGTGATCAATGGGTAAAATGTTTAACATTGTAGATTTGGCTCATACAAAATTGTTCAATTTGCCTGATGGACTGCTATGGTGTTTAGATGTTGCTTGTAATGATTAGAATTGGGAGCACTGGCTGTTGGGAGTCTGAGGGAGAGCTACTGAGGGTGCAGCAGCAGCTTGGAAAAGAGGTTTCCACTTCAAAAAAAGAAAGTCCTGTTGAAGTTTGTTACTACCTTGCCTGACTACTATAACAACGGCTTGGTTTTGTTTAAGGAAAACAACAGGGCCCAATTTTGTTACCTTTATTCACCTTGATGTAGTACTTTGCTATGAATATTAAAAAAAATATAATTGTTTTCAGTGGGACTATTCATGCAGTAAGGCAGTACTCAGCATGAGTAAGAATGGTGGAATTTGGTCTTCAGTAACATCTTTATTGTCTTACTGAAACACAAACTATTACTTTCATTAGGGTATTTAATCCAATCAAAATATTTGTATATCCTGAATTCTTCTCTTCAGGATTTATGCTGCCTTTGATGTGCCTGGCCTTCCTGCTGGGATTTACACATGTACAATGAGGAGAAACATTAGAAGTAGGGCTGGTAGTACCTCCTATTAAGGCTACTCAACACTTACTTACCCTTATAAAAGCCTGGTTTGGGTTGCTTATAGCTTTGCCAAACTTATAGGCAGGGTACTATGGAAAATAGAGTATCAAAATGTGTATAGAGCTGAATTAAACCTGCACAGGCAATCTTACTTTAACATTTCCTCACTTTTGGGTGCTTGACTTTGCAAATTAATAATATTCTTTTAAAGTAGGGTGATAGTTTTTTCCCCATGTAATACACATTCTATCCTACAAACTGCAAGAACAGGCTGAATTTATAATTAATCATACAGTGATAACTGTACAATAAAATGAAATATAGCAATTTACTTTGGACAGAAACATCTGTTGGGCTTTTTGGCCCTTGGGGAAGGAGAACATAAAGAATGTATGGAGCCAAATTCATTGCTAGGGTAACTCTAGGGTAACTGTGGACAATACAGTGACATGGGATGAATTAAAGTCTGCGTGCCTGGGAAGAGAGACAACAAGAGGAAAGAAAACAAAAGAGAAAAATTAGAGTCAAAACTGAGGGAGGAGGGGGAAAGAGCTAGAAAATAAAAGAAAAACAGTCTACCAGGAATAGTGTTTCATGGTAGTCCCACGAAACCACCTCTGACTCCAGCAGAGCTTATAAATGTGTCTAAGAAGACTGTCAGCGGTGAGAGAGGAGGAGGCTGGGAAAGGAAATGCAGGGATTTATTCCAGGAATTGAAACCACAAGAGGCCGGACAGGAGTCAACACCAAGGAGACCCAGGAATCTGAAGTCTCAGATTAGAGAGTAATGAATATGGGAAGGGATGTGACTGCCATCAAATACGTGGGAGAGTAGGAAAGCATGGTATGTTGTTGGAGCAGAGAGGAATGCAACATTCTGGGAGCTGGGTTGAGAAAATAAATGCAACAAAGATCTGGGAGGCAGGACAGAGAGTCGAGGACTGGAGTAATCTGTGATGCTGTTACTGCTCCGAGAAAGAGTGAGTGGATGGGGGGGTGGGGGAAAGCAGAAGTGAGAAACTATACAGTGTAGTGCTGAGTAAGGGTGGAGACTGGGAGGCTGCCATATAGCTCAGGATCAAGCCCTTATGCTGTAGTTCCAGAAGCTCTGTGCTAGCAGACATTGAGTGCCCTGTCAGAAACCTAGCAGTGAAAGCCTGACACATGTTCCAGTGTGTGTAAATTAAGCGACAGTGTTTCTATTTTGCTTGTCTTGGATACCATTTTACAGAGGTTAGGAGGTTCCCTAGACCTGCTTCTTTTCTTCTCCCACAACAATTAAAAAAAAAACTCAGAGGAAAAATGCACTATTAAAACAGCATAATCCACACCCTAGAAGAATAGGGTCAGCTTCCCTTTTCCCAAAATGGCTGTGAACTCTAATGAATACTTGCAAAACTCTTCAGCTGGGAAGCTGAGTAAGTCAGACTCCAGAATGTTAGTTTTACAGGTTTAGGAACAAGGAGAATTCTAGCTAATTCACTCTTAGGTCCACCAGCAGTTTAAAATTATTACCTAAAGTTCTGTATGGGGTAGACTTTTATCATTTGTATTGTGGTAACATCGAGCACATTAGATTGCTAGTTACTACACAAACAACACAAAAAAATGGTTCTTGTCCCCCAGAGTTTACAATCTCCTTTAGTTCTAATCTCATGTGTGTTCAAGGTGTAAATCAGGAATAACTCTCAAAGTCAGTGGAATTATACTGAGGCAATACAGGTGTAAGTGGGGCCTGGGCTACTCCTAAAAGTTAGGTTGACCTAGCTGCATGACAGGGCTGTGAAATGTTGTGCCCTGAGCATCACAGTTAGGGTGACAGGTTTCAGAGTAGCAGCCGTGTCAGTCTGTATTCGCAAAAAGAAAAGGAGGACTTGTGGCACCTTAGAGACTAACCCCCAGGGTAGACATTCCTATGTCCACAGAAGGATTCTTCTGTCAACCTAGCTGCTGCCTCTTGGAGAGATGGGTTACCTACATTGATAGACAAACTCCTGCCATCAACATAGGAAGCACCTGCATTATGGCGGCACAGCTGTGGGACTGTAGCTGTAGGGGCTGTGCATATGCTAAGAATAGAATCAGGCCCTCTTATTGCAAGGGGCTTGTGAAGTCAGGCCAACCTAACACCTGGTGTAGATGTGGCTAGGTCAGTGGAATTCTTCCGCTGTCGTAGGAACCATCTTTCTGAAAGCTAAATAACTACATTGATGGAAAAAATCTTTTGTGTTGCGGTCAAAGCATCTACACTGTGGTGGGACAGCTGCAGGCTGTAGCTGTGCTGCTGTAGCATAGGGTCTGAACTCTGAAGAAGAGGCTAGGTGTCTGTGGACCCTTAGAAAGTCTGCTTAACACCTTGTCAATATAGGAACTCTCAGGAAAGTTAATGTGAATCAGCTACAGGTGTGAAGTCATCGGGTATAAGGATTAACTAAGTGTGAAGTCATCGGGTATAAGGATTAACTAGTTTATTCCTGAATGAGATTAGCCATATGGTTTAACATGCTTTAATTTATATGGATTGTCTTCACATCTTTAGTTGACTCTGGTTACAGTTCCTGCGTGTCCCTGTGTAGACATGACCTAAGAGTTTGTAGTAGTGGGTCGGTATGAGGAAAACTGTTTGTAGTACAAGGTGGGTAGTAAGGTGGGGGGGCGGGGGTGGAAAATAAAATGAATTTGCAGTAGTGGGTGGACAAGATAAATTCTAGGGTCTCTGAGGGTACGATGGATACGTCTAGTGCTGGATTTCTAAAAGGGGGGCTGTAGTGGGAGCGTGGCCATAAGGGGGCTATCCGATATGCAGGAGCAGAGACGACTGGCAGTGGGGCCAGGCTGGTGGGTGGGTTCGGGGCGGCGGTGGCCGGGCCGGGGGGTGTGGACGGGGGCTGGCGGGCGGGCTCGGGGTGGCTGAGGGGGCTGGCGGTGTGGGGAGAGGGCTCGGGGCGGCAGCCCTGAGGGGGCTGGAGGTGTGGTGCGCCGGGGGCCGGGCCGGGGGGTGTGGACGGGGGTTGGTGGGCGGGCTCGGGGCGGCTGACGGGGCTGGGGGTGGTTGAGGGGGCCGGGCCGGGGGGTGTGGGGCGGGCTCGGGGCGGCTGAGGGGGCTGGGGGGACGGGGCCAGGGGGCGGCAGCCCTGAGGGCGCCTGGGGGTGTGGGCCGGTGAGCGGCAGCCCTGTGGGGCGGGCTCGGGGCCGCTGAGGGGGCCGGGCCGGGGGCTGAGGGGGCCGGAGCCGGCAGCCCTGAGGGGGCGGGGGCCAGGCTGGGGGCGCTCAGAGGGCAGAGGTGGCCGGGCCGCTGGCCCGCCCCGCCTTTCCCGGCGGAGGCCGCTCCCTTCCCGGCTCGGGTTACCTGGGCGGGCCGCCCAGCGCCTCTTCCCGTCTGGCCCGTCCCCGCAGCGCTGGGAAGCGGGGCGGCGGCGGCGGCGCTGCCGGACGCGGACATGGGCCCTGCGGTCCCCGCCGGAGCCCGGCTCTTCCTCGCCCTGACGCTCTGCCTGGCGGCCGGGGCCGCGGAGCCCGAGGGGCGGCCAGCAGGTGCGGTGCGGTGCGGAGCGGGGGGGCGCGGGGCCGGGGCGAGGCGGGCAGCCGGGGGGGCGGCCCGGGGCCGAGGGGAGACACGGCGGGGGCGTGGGGCGGGGCCGCCGGCCGCTGCGGGGGCTGCAGCCGGCGGGTCACCGCGGTCAGTGTTCCCCGGGCGCCCGGCCGGCCCCTTGCCCTGCTGCCCGGGCGCGGCGGTACCTGCCCCCCCCCAGCTCCTCGTTCGCACCGGGCGTGTCACGTCGCTTGCCCCCGGGCCGGGAGCTCTCTTCGGCGCTGATCCCGCCAGCGTGTGCGGCGGGATCGTTCCCAGGGCATGCAGCCCAAGTCGGCGCCCGCACCTGGGCGGGATCGGGGCCATCAGTCTCCCTCTTCTGAAATAAATTAAAAAAAAAACAAAAAAAAAACCTTCAGAGGAACAGCCGTGTTAGTCTGTATTTGTAAAAACAACTTTGTAACCTGGCCAGCCGTTCCTAATCCGTTTAATCCCGCCAGCTACACGCGTGTGGTCCTGCAAATCTTTACTACTGCAAGTAATTTTGTTCCTGTACAACTCTTTGTAAAGACAGGAGGTAGTTGCTGTTTGCAGGATTAGTCGCTATATTTCTTTCAGGGTGCGATCATTAGATTGCACCTTCCGTTCAAATAACTTTGACTTTTCAGCCTAAACCTCCTGTAGATCGTGGAAATTTTGAGTGATGTGCAATGTGAATTAGGATTTCAGACCCTCTGCTTCCTATATCATAAAATAGTGAGGAGAAATTTAAGATTCTGATCTTCCTTCCTTTATGATGGTATTTCAAAAGAACCCTAACATCTCTGACAGATTTCAGAGTAGCAGCCGTGTGAGTCTGTATTCGCCAAAAGAAAAGGAGCACTTGTGGCACCTTAGAGACTAACCCATTTATTTGAGCATGAGCTTTCGTGAGCTACTTCATCGGTCCGATGAAGTGAGCTGTAGCTCACGAAAGCTTATGCTCAAATAAATTTGTTAGTCTCTAAGGTGCTACAAGTGCTCCTTTTCTTCTAACATATCTGGTGGCTTTAAACTGTATCTCAAATTTCTGTGGCTGCAGCCACAACCACTGTAAAATAAAAACACACTTTTCTAAAAATTTCAAACCTGCATCTCTTGCAAGTAGCACCAAAGTTTACTTAAATTGAAAGAATTAAAGAAAAAAACTTTGTTTATTCAGCACCCCGGTTCTTTATTTTGTGCATTTGATACTATTTTCTGTATAGTTCGTTTCCCATTGCTTTTTCTGAAGCAGGGTGCTCACACAGTAACAGGGAAAACAAGGTTTTTTTAAATTATTTTAGCTTTCTCAGATTAATAGGAAAATACATCTGTAAACCCACAAAATCAGCAAAGAAAGATTTGAGAACAATCTACCTCTAGTTGGGGGATTTTTTTAAAGTGTCTAGAATTTCATGTTGACTGTCCCTTTAACTAAAGAAATTCAGTGGAAAAACGTTGTGAATATAATGTGACTGAAAATGTAAATGAAAATTAAACAATCTAAATTGTAAAGGATTTCCTATTTACATAGGATGAGTGTAAATACTTAGTCAAAAGACCACATGCTTAAATGTATGTAGAGACTACATTCGATCCCAGTGATGTTCCCTGTGTTTGCTTTTCCATCAGAATTTTTTTCTTATTCTTATTAACAATCTGAAAAGTAAGTGTGTGTATGTGTGTGTGGTAAGTACAAAGGAATAAAATTCATGAGTAAATTCCATTATATAATTTTAATTCTAAATAACTTAATTAGTTCTTATTTTCCGTGTGGGATGCTAGCCTTATATGTAGATTATTTACTATACTAACTCACTGGAGTACTGTAAGTTGCTTGTAAATAGGGACCTGCATGCCAAGGTGGAGCCCAGCTGAAGTCATTAAAGCCTCAGATGTTAGATAAGGATAATTTTGGTGGAGTGCAGAGGGAGGGAGGCAGAGGTTCAATATTTAATCAAGTTGTATTTTGTATAAATGGTGGTATTTCTGATATTGGGGAGTTAAATATTGGAAACAAGAGTACATCAGTGAATCGGTCCCTGCTACAGTTAATCTTCCTGGAGGTCTCACTGATGAGATCAATAGATAGATCTTGAGCAAAAATAAAATACTTCTCTTTTTAGGTTTTTGAAATGGAAAAAAATCTTGGTCTTTGAATTGAGCCATTGATTTTCTTTTCCTATTATTGTAAACTTTTTTCAGCTCAAAGGGGTGCCATTTTAATGGTCACTAAATCACTGTGCACACCTCTGGAAGAGTGGAAATAATGAATAATTATATATTTTTTAAATATAATGTATTGTTCTCCTTGAGAGAGTTGGAATCCCCTCACGATTATTGATAAGTACTTATCTTTGATCTACTTCTTCTTTCACTTTCATAATTACTGTTAGGCTGCCATTACGAGCTAATCTAATATTAATCTGTCAAACCTCCTATAGTAATTTATTTAAATTAGATATCTTAATTGTATCCACAAAAACAACAAGGAGTTCGGTAGTCTTTTTGTGATAAGACTAACATGGCTACCCCTTGATGATTAATTTTATCACGTATATTTAAATCATGATTTACCAAACTAATATGAACATTGGGTGCCACCTGTATGTAATAGTATGTATTAATATTGAATCAGGTTGATTATTTTCTACTTGATTTTTAACACTTTAGTGTGAAGTGAAGTAAAATCCCATTAAATCATTAAGTTGCTAAATGAAGAAAAAGTTATGAGTAGAAACACAGTTTTGCAGAGATATTGGTTACTTTTACTTTTGTATTATGGTATTTAGTCAGAGAGAGCTATAAGGAAAGAGAGGCCATGAAAAAGGCATGGAGATCCCAGGCATGTATTTATATGTATTTTATAAGTTAGATCCTTTCAGCTAATGCTGATCTGCTTATCAAACTAAGGATGGTAATTGGGATGATGCAGAAATAAAACATCACAATGGGGACTGAATTTAAAAGCAGAGGTTTCTATTAAGTAAAACATCCTGCTGTGTTATCCACCAGCTCTGGGGTTCTAAATAATCTTGCACCCATCACATGTCCTGAGATATGGCTCCAAAATGGAAGCTTCCAAACCATACCAATATTCGAGAGGAACATGTTTGCTTGCCTAATCTAGTGTTTGATCATAAAGCTGTCATGCATCCCTGTGTCCTTCCTCCCCCCACTGCCCTAACCGTACCTGATCCTGTCAAAGTTAGATTCAGGACTCCCATAATTTGTCAGACCACTCTGTTTATTAGCAAAGCACTTTGCCAATGCACCCAGATATGTGAGCCCCTCTCTAAGGCTCAAGCTAACTTATTTATACAGATAAGCCAAAGCCAATTTAACATAAGAGACAAAAGGAAGCAGAAACTGACAAATATACATACAGATCTTATTTGCATGCTAACATTTACCAATTTCCTAGCTCAGTAGGAGCTCTAAGTTAATTAGTTTGAGGACCCATTGTCTCACACTCCTTAATGTTTCTCTTTCTGACAACTATATTTCAACAAACCCTTCAAGCAGCATTTCTTTAATGAATTATAATTTCAATATAATTCATTCTACTTTCACAATCCCAAACTAGCATCCAGATTTTGGGAAAGGAACGTACGCTACTCAGCTTTTACCAGAAATTAAATGCACATAGAAATGTAACTTAGAATTTTTTGCCTATTAATGCAAGTATTTTGCATCAGAATTTAACTATGCTTTACATGGAATAGGTCCAAATTCATAAAAGTTGAAAAGATTGTGGTAATTGCTGTTCAAACCACTGTCTGGCTGATATTTTAATAATAAAAGTAATGAGCAAGACTTGAGTAATCACCGAAGGTGTATTCTATACATGCTTTTTACATCTAAGCCATTTTTTCTTCAGAGGTTGACTTAAAAGCATGAGACCTGAAAATTACTTTGGAAGTTTATTAGGTTAAATTGGTTATGCTAATAAGACTTAGTCAAGGTTTATATCTTGCAAACACAATTTCAGCTTCAGGCAGTGTGAAATAGTTGTGTGTGAATTTAAAATACCTAAAATTAAGCTTTACTAAAAGGAAAGCTGTAGAATTTTAAAAGGAGTGTCTATTAAAGTTCTTAGCTTGGAATTATTTAAAGACACCTTGGGGTTCCCCCCCCAAAAAACATGCCTCCTGTGCTGGTTGCAGTTTATTAGGGGCTTAATTCTGCAAATACTTCAAGATGTGATACTACTGTAGAAAGTCATATTGAAAGACTTAACTAGAACTACTAATTGATTTAGTGAGATCACACTCAGTAGTGAATGTTTTCAGAATAGGGCCCGAATAGGGCATGTCTGCTACCTTCTTGTGGCATCCCCCATAAGCAGTGCAAAGGGAAAAGAAAGCAAACAAAACGTGGAACAGGCTAACGTTGTAAGCCACATTCAGCCTGAAAGGGCCATTTTCCAACGGGGTCCCTTTCAGGGCCAGCACCGCAAACCCTAGCACTAGGGTCGGTTCTCAAGATGCTGTGTTCCAATATTGAGGGGATATCAACAGCAAAGTTACAAACTCCACCTACATACAAACCTTGAAGCACATGTAATTTTGCTTCAGGAGATGCACTCTACCACTGATGTGCAAGTTTCAGTTCCAGGCTACACTGTCATGGCTCATCACCATTGCAGTCAGTATGGGATGACATCTTATGTTAGAGAAGAGCTGTCCTCTGTCACAGTATCGATATCTGGTCCAAATGCCATCGCAGGAATCGAGGTGAATGAGTTTGCACTAATTATCTACAAGCCTCCATCAGCTAACTGGCCAACCTCTACTACACTCACCTTTCCAAGTCTTTCCATTTACTGTGGTCTGATGGGGTTACCCTGAAAACAATGCAGATGGAGAGAATCTAATGGAATGGGCATCAGTCACTGACCTATAACTCCTCTATGATCCAAGGCAAACCCCCAGCTTTCACAGTAGGAGATAGGCTACAGGCTCTTCACCCAAAATCACCTTTTCATCTTCCAGGCAAATGCCTCCAGTGGTCAAAGAGCAGAAAGTATTTGAAGCTTTTCTGAAATCTCAGCATCTGCTGTCCTTGACCACCACAGGCTTGCTGACATTAACAACAAACAGTTTACAGAAGGCCTGATGGAATTTTCAGAAAGCTTGGTGGGAGGTTTTTCAAGCAGAACTAGATACATTTATAAGCAAACTGGCCCCCGCACCCGGGATCCCTAGGGAGGGCTCTGTCCACCATTACAGATTTTTTTTTTTCTGAGAACCCCCGATACATTTCACGAACCTCCAAGTGTTCATAAACCCCAGTTTGGGAACCACTGCTCTACATAAGATCGAAGGATCACTCAGCCAGGACACACACGCTCTGGCCACTTCCCTTGGTCAGTGGAGACTTCCAGTAAATGAGTCTAAGATGGCAGCCCCAACCTTCCAGCTGAAGGATCGCCTGGCTAACCAACCCCTTGCAGTCTGTGGTGAGGCTCGCCCCCTCCCTTTCCAGCCAGTTCTCACTTATTTAGGAGCTGGCAGCCTGAGCTCCGTGACCATGACTTCCTGGCGGAACAAGTTTAAGCTTTGTTTGCATTGTTTGCCTGGACTGCTCAAGACCCGAATGCTTGTGGGAGGAACTCTTTATTGAGTTGGCTTCTTAAATACTTTCATGCTGGTTCACGTCTGGTACTCCTGGATGAAACATGTAGGAGGCTTAATCCAAGTGATATGAGCTACAGAAATGAAATCTTGGAAGAGTGTTGCCGTTTTCATAATGTAATAAAATTAATAATGATAAATAATGTAATAATTGTGTGTAATAAGCAGGGTGGATTTGATTTAAATCACTAGTCAGGAAGACTCGATTTAATCATGGATTTCTACTTAAAAGTGCATTCTTGTTGGTGGTTATAACCTCAATACATATTCTTCATAACTCAGAGACAGATGTAGGTTTCATTCTTAAAAGGTACACACTATACATTTTAAAGTGATTTTATTTTGAAAACTTTTCAGATTAGTTTTACAGCTGTATCAGAAAATGAAGGATTGTTTGGTTATTTCATTTACCAAAGTTAATTGAAGCAGATATTTATGAAGTCACTGGGAAGTGAACTATCTCCAATTCAACAGATTCATCATTAATATTTGGAGGATTTTCTTGCCATGCTGCATTAGGAGGAGAACATCACCAAACCGACATTTAAATTGTTTTATTTAACTAAAACAACAACATTATGTATTCTGGATTTTTTTCTTCAACAGCAAACCTACAATATTTTAACAAAACAAGGATATGAATTTTTGAATTTAGTTAAGCGTTCAAGTTTTTTAAAATCAGGTTTGTCTTTGTTAAAATTGTTAACTAAAATAGTTAAATGAAATTTTTTAAAAAAACAAAACAAAAATTAAATAGACTACGTCAGCCAGGTCAACGTGAGAAACTTAAAATATATTGGCTTCTGCAGCTAACAGTCGTCTTCACCTTCATTTTCCTGTTTGTTCATAATCTGGCAAAGAAAAACAAGCTCTCCTGCTTTTTCAGGCCCAAACGATTTCTCAATTTGGAATGAATTCATCCAAAGGAAGAAAATAGTCTTTCTACACCTGCAGAAGAAGCTACTGCTGTTAAAAGTGAGATTATCACATCAACGGTCTCTGAATCCAAGTGCTTGAGTGACTTCCACCAGTTCAATGGTGTGACTTTCTTCAAAACGTCATCAGCAAACATATATTTCTTGAATGGTTCTTATTCCGAAACTGGGTCTCTTTTATGGCCTGCTGCTATTATAGGTTTTTCCCTTCTAGTGAGAGAATGTTATGGTAGATCTCAAATCAATGGAGGCTACACTCAAGACTTCTGGAATATGCTGCTCAAACAGTTTCACTTTTTTTTCTACTGCATGTCCCTCTCTTCTTACATTTATCTCTTCTCCTTATCTAGATCTATTCCATCCCCAACAATCTTCTATTCATTGAACTTTCTGAAACTTTGCACTTTTAGGGAGAGATAAGGGAGTGACTCTGTACACAAATTTGCAGAGGGACAATAGGGTTGAGGTCTGTTGTTTCTCACCTCTATATATTTATTTATTTTTAAAACATTTTTGCTGTTAACAGGCACGTTATCTCTGGAGACAAATCCACAGTTTGAGAACAGCAAAACTAAGCATCTCTGATGGTATCTTCTAGACTGAGCACTGAGTCCCATTGGGTAGATATAAAGATTAACCTAAATAATCTATACAGAAGCCTCTGGAACCTCATAAAATGGGGTCCGTAATCCATGAACTATTGGAACTCATTTACAAAACTTTTTTCTTAAACATTACATGAATATATTGTCTCATACTATAGAATTAGAATTTATAATCCCAATTCCATGATGAGATATCTTGGAGCTAAAATGTATCTTTATCTTTAGATAGGTTTTTTCCTCCAAAAGCATTTTATCAAAAAATCTGATATAAATAAAAAAAAATTGGATTTTTTTTATTGATTTTTATCCATCGTGGTAATAGGCGTGTCATAAAAAAACAAATTATTTCCAAGATCACTGCTTCCATAATTTATGCTCAGGTAAGGGAGGAAATCCCTGGAAATATTCATTTTTAGGAGGGGGTTTGCGAGATTTGATATTTTCGTGAAAGGGGTTCATGGGTGGTTAATGTTTGGGAATCACTCTTCTGAGGGGTAGTAGTGTGCTACTAGCCTATGCCAGCAGTAAATTATTTCTTATTGCACCCTGGTCCTACCTATTGTGCACTTGAGTTAAAGATCAGGTGAATCCATGGAAGGTAAAGTTTTTAATGCCCTTTTACTCACTAAGGTGTGTGTAAAGTCCAAGCCACAATCTACCCCAAAGGTTGTAATTTGAAAGACTAATTTTTTGAAATTAAAACTATTGGATTATGTCTCTAAACACAAAATAGGTTCTGTTAATACACACAACTTTGTTCTGAAGCACTTAGGGTTACTACAAACTCACAAAAGCCTCCAAATAAAAACTTCAGCCACCTACCAGGACATATTCTCTGTTCCTTTGCCTGCAATCGCATCCCTTGTTACCGTAACTATTGTATGCCACACACTGCAGTCTTAACGTTGTCTCCCCTTCTGCCTTTGTGTACCCAGCACTTTCCCAGATTAATTTGTCCCATACTAGTAATTGTGGATGTTTGGTGTCGTAGTTGGTTATGTTGGGAGACAGTGACTTGGCAAAGGGTTGTTTGTAGAAGAGCATGTAGGCTAGCATCTCGAAGGGGTAGAATGAAGGTAGCTGTGCTATATGGTAGTTTTAGGTGAAGGAGTAGAGGACATGTACTGTTAGGTAGCGTCACTTTTGTTTCTTCGCTTTTGTAGACTTGTTAGGCATGTATTTTTGTAGCAACCGTAATTGCTTCATAATAACATCTTTGTGTCATTGCCTGTGCTTTTGTTTAATCTGATGGCTGGATGTGGGATGGGCAGACCTGTGAGGGTAAGGACAGAGAATAGTTCATCTGTCAGCCTCTGTGCAAACACTTTCGCATCAGCAGCCATCCATAAGCCCTTTGCTGATGCCAAATAAAATCTGACCAAAAAATGTAATTCCTGATGGAGAAGGTTTTGTGTGCACCTGCCGACCCAGTCAGCCAGTATGATTTGGGGAAGTAAGAGGAAGCATTGATTGGGCAAATATTTCAGTTGTGTTGCTTTACAGTCAGTGTGAACCACTGTAAAGACAGGATTTTTTTTAATCAAATGACTTTTTAAAAATAAATATAAAAATATACTGGGTTTTATTTATCCTTTATTTTAGGAGGGTTGTGAAACTGAAGCAGATTTACATTTTAAATCATTGTAATATAAACCTCTTAGGATTTCAGCTTCATTACATGAAACTTAAAACATTTTCTGACCAGCTTTAATTTTTTATTTTCCACAGACTTGACTTTACTTTTTTATTTTTGGGGGGAAGAGGGGGTCAAAATGTGAGAGTTTCCAGCTGAAAACTTGATTTTCATTTTTTGACCAGAAAGGGTGGGTTCTTTTTCAAGATAACTGTCAGCTCTTGGTGGAACATTTCATTTAATTAAGATGAAATTTCTGTCGAAATAGTCCTAATGGAAAATTTTTCGCCAGTGTTAATTAAATTACTTAGAGCACCCATGAAGTATTCATTTAGAACTTTTTCCTTTGCTTTTATAGGAAGAAAAGTTCTCCCACCTCCATCCAACCTGCATTATTCATTTGGCCAGCTCTGTAAACTGAAATGGACATGGAATCCCCCAGAGGGCATGAACAGTGGCTGTGATCTAGAATATTGCAGTGAAATTTTGATTAATGGCATCCCACAAGAAAACAGAGTACGTTTTGTTGTTGTTTTTGTTTTGTTTTTTGTTTTTCCCCCAGCTCTTTGAATTCCACAATATTCCAGTAAATGTTTATTCTTACAATGAAAGGAAATAAAATTACCTGTAACTGTTCTTAGATGTTATACACTTCATAATGGATCTACATACTTGGGGGTCGTTTGCAGGGCTGTGCGAATAACTAGTTTAGATTTGGTGGCCAAACGAGGGGGTAAAAATTATCTTGACTTTACCAGAAACAAACCAAAAATTTTGACAAAACAATTAAAAAAAATTATTGATGGATTTTTACCTTTTTTTAATAAAATGGAAGTAAATTTTGAAATGAAAAGTTTAATTTGAAAATATTACTTTTTTTAATTCGAAACAATATATTGACTTTTTAGAGTCTTTTTCACAGAAATAATTTGGTGAAATCAACACAGTTACAAAATATTTTGGTTTCAGAGTAGCAGCCGTGTTAGTCTGTATTCACAAAAAGAAAAGGAGTACTTGTGGCACCTTAGAGACCAACAAATTTATTTGAGCATAAGCTTTCGTGAGCTATGGCTCACTTCATCGGCTGCATTCAGTGGAAAATATGAAGTGAGCTGTAGCTCACGAAAGCTTATGCTCAAATAAAAATATTTTGGTTGACCCAAGTATACGCTTTTTGGTGTGTGGGGGGGGGAGAAATTAGAGAGGGTTTGATCTGAAAAAATCTCACCTGTTGCAGTTATGATGTCATGACGGGTTGTGGAATATTCAGAGCTCAAAAGCAGTAGCCAGCCTCGTTCTTGAGCAGGGTACTTTAGTAGTAATTCACAGACAGCATAATAGAAAAGACTCATGCATCCATTAAATTAAGTATTCTTTTTAAAGGTACTTTTAACCAATACATACCAAACTTGTCTTCATCTTCAAGCTACACAAAACTGGGTTTCCTGAAAGGGTCCTGTACCCTGACTCTGAACCCCTCAAAGTGGGCTCCGAGTCCAGAAGAGAGACATCAGTCGTCATCTTAGGTTAGATAGTCATATACTTCCAAATTATAACAAACTTTACTTTTTTCCTGAACTGCCCCCAAGTGACAGTGTCTTGGATGCAGTCAAACCTGATATGATGCAAGTCCTCCAGGCCCGGAGAGGATGCCTCATGGAGACACTCTGTGATTACTGAACGTTATTGCTGAACATTATTGCTGTGACAGCTGCCAAGTCCAGGATATCCTGGTCTTTTTAAGGGAAAGCAGTTCATAAATTTGTTTTGTGGCTGCAGTTTTTGCGTTCTGATCTGCTGTATTTGGAATGTTAATGGCTGTTTGACTCCCTACCTGTTCAATGATTGTTTGCTTATATGCATGTTTTTTTCTGTTGTTACTCTGGTATGGGCTTTGAGTGCTTTTTTCCTTCTGTTAATGTTTTGTGTGACTATGGAGTGGTGAAAGGTGCTGGATTGACCTCCCTGTATTTTTTAAGTCCTCTGTTTAGACAGAGGTAGTGTAAACTTCATGACTTTGCCTTATCAGATCTGGAAGAATGCCCGTAGGAAGAAAAGTCTCCTCCATACTCCATTTTGGATCTCTGTAGGTTGCCAGTCAGTCCATGTCCACGGGGAATTGGTTCAGACTATGACACTCTCTCTCTTCTTGAGTGGTATGTTTGAGTATGCCTGCCGAGAGATCATCACCTTTTGTTTTTGCTGAATGGCTGTTCATTGCTTTTGGTTTGGATTTTTAAGCATCCTCTTTGTTCCTTTAGTTCTAGAACTGGGTGTGAGCCTTTTGATTTGTTCTAATATGTTTTTACATTAACTATGGTTTCCCTTGTACTTTGTGTGTTTACTATATTTGGGCATTTTAAAGTTTTTTTTTCTTTAAATTTAGGAATGGAGTAGGAATCTTTTTCGTGAGGAAGATGTATCCTTGAATGAGGAGGCTCATTTCAGAGTGAGAAGTGAATGCAAATCTGATAATACAAGTGAACCAAGCAACTGGGTGGAGATTTCTACTCCACCAAAAGGTACCCATTCTAAAACCTAGCCTTGAGCATGTTACCTTCTTTATATCTGATGAAATACATAACTTTTTTTGCTTTCTGAGATGTAGTACAAGAAAGCTGAATCTTTAGAAAAATAAAACTCAGTTAAAATCTTAAATTAGCTGAAAGTGTCTGTATTTTTGCACATCCCAATACACTTTAAAAGTGAACTGTACAGTTCTCACCTGCCAGGACATTAGTTCAGGATTGTTTGTTGTTTATATTATTAGCTCTTACAGGAGAAACAGAAAATCCTGAACACCAATCCTAGCAGGCAAGTAAGATAGCAAATTAGAGAGACAAGGTGGGTGAGGGAATGTCTTTTGTTGGAACCACTTCTGTTGGTGAGAGAGACAAGATTTCTGGTTTACGCAAGCTTTACTCAAAAGCTTGTCTAAACTTGAAAGCTTGTGTCTCACCAACAGAAGTGGTTCCAATAAACTGTATTCCCCCATCTCCTTGTCTCACTAATGTCCTGGGACCAACACAGGTACAAGAATACTCCATACAACTGGGAAATAATTGTCATATGTTTTAATTCTTAAAGTGTGTGTGCCTCTGTAATATTGAAACCTACCCTGTGTGCCCTGCTAATAAATTTGATTCTTATATTCTCCTCATTTTTTAAAAGATGAATTCAGAGATGAGAAGTTTAAGTGATTGGGCCAGGGGAGAATAGCTAAGGGAAACACATTTTCTGGGTAGTGTCAGGGACGAGACAGGTGTATGGAGGACTGATCAGTAATAGGCCACAGGGCAGAGTCCAGTTGCTCGGGAGTAGAGAGAGCTGCAGGGAGAAGTGGGCAGGAAAGCAAGTGACAGTAATGGAAGCAAAAAAAGCAGGTCAACTGGAAAGAAAAGTAAAGTTGCGGTGAGACACTGAGATGTGGAAACTTTCACTGATTAAAGGGCGGCCGTGTCCTAGGAGTACTGTGTATCCTTTGGTCTAAGGACTGTTCTGATGCACCCCAGGGGTGGACCATTAGGAGTGAGTGAGCTAAACAGACTTTTGTTTTTAAAAAGCTATCTGCATAGACATCTGTCACCTTATGAACTAAACACAATTTTAATTTTCCTGTAATAAACCTTCAAGTAGTCGCTTCCGCAGAAGAAACAAGTTTAGGAGCAGAAGTGAGGTTGAAGGCTGGGCTCTTTATGGAAGTAACATATATGTGTAGTGCCTGAGGATTATTGTGGTGTTACCAGATATATTTATTTCTTCTCTAAGATGTAATCTGTTAATACAGTGTGAGACAGCAGTGGATGGAAGGAAATGAAGAAATTAAATTTAAAAAAAGAAACTCTTCAACCTATGCAATTTTGCCACTTTTTGTGTGAGTGACATGAAATTAAATATGAAGAACCTGATTCTATAGCTGTTGTACCCACCATGGGATATCCTGTTAACATCCCAACTCATGGTGGCTATGTAATCATTTGTTTCTACCATTCTGTCACTTGTTTCCTAGTATTTTAAATACCGTCGAGGTATCTTGGAGGTACAGTAGTCATGATTAAAACTTGACTTTGACTCACTTTTGCCACTGAATAGTATTTTAGAGACAGTTTATTTCCATATTCAAAGTACATGAAAATAACACTGATACCCCAGTAACTGTGGGTGAGCACTGATGGTTTCTAATGGCTGCAGCTGTCATGCAGTTCATGGCTTTGCAACAATGTTCCTTTGACTGTCAAGGATTTTAACTAACCCTAAAGCACCTGCATTTTATTGGAATATGACTTCCCTGTTTCACCATCTCATTCTATCTGTAAAATTATTGTTCACACTAGTTCAGATTAAATGAAAGCAACAGCTTAGGCTTTTCTGGGTCACTTGTGTTTAGAAGGAGCCTTGCACAGGTTCAGGAATGCCATGCTGTACAAGTGAGTGACTTTCACTTGCTGACTAATAAAGGCATTCACTGTAGCCTGAGAAGCCCATTGTGACAGGTTGGATCACAGAACCCCCACTTGGTAACTGCCAACTGATGTGCCAAAGCTATTTCTGCTCCTGCTTTCCCTGCCAGCTTGGGACTCCAGCACCCTGTCTTGATGAGCCAGACACGCCAGTCTGCTCCAACACAGACCAAGGGTCTGAACCACGTGCCCCAAAGCTGCAGACTTAATTGAAAGCAACTTAAGAAGTGTTCCTGTCTTTAACACTCACATGTGCAACTCCCAATGGGGTCCAAACTCCAAATCCGTTTTACCCTGTATAAAGCTTATACAGGGTAAACTCATTAATTGTTCGCCCTCTATAGAGAGAGATGCACAGCTGTTTGCCCCCCCTTCCCAGGTATTAATACATACTCTGGATTAATTAATAAGTAAAACGTGATTTTATTAAATCCAAAAAGTAGGATTCAAGTGGTTCCAAGTAGTGACAGAGAGAACAAAGTGAATTATCAAGCAAAATAAAATAAAACACGCAAGTCTAAGTCTAGTACAGTAATAAAACTGAATACAGATAAAGTCTCACTCTCAGATGTTTCAATAAGTTTCTTTCACAGACTGGACGCCTTCCTAGTCTGGGCACAATCCTTTCCCCAGGTACAGCCCTTGTTTCAGCTCAGGTGGTAGCTAGGGGATTTCTCATGATGGCCGCCCATTTGTTCTATTCCACCCACTTATATATCTTTTGCATAAGGCAGGAATCCTTTGTCCCTCTGGGTTCCCACCCCTCTTTCTCAATGGAAAAGCACCAGGTTAAAAATGGATTCCAGTTCAGGTGACATGATCACATGTCACTGTAAGACATCATTACCCACTTGCCAGCACACAAGTATACAGGAAGTCTTACAAGTAAAACAGAGCCATCTACAGTCAATTGTCCTGGTTAATGGGAGCCTTCAAGATTCCAAACCACCATTAATGGCCCACACTTTGCATAATTACAATAGGCCCCCAGAGTTATATTTCATATTTCTAGTTTCAGATACAAGAGTGATACATTTATACAAATAGGACGACCACACTCAGTAGATTATAAGCTTTGTAATGATACCTTACAAGAGACCTTTTGCATGGAGCATATTCCAGTTACATTATATTCATACTCATTAGCATATTTTCATAAAATCGTATAGAGTGCAACGTCACACCCGCACTCTGCTTTTCAAGTGGGATAGTGGAAGGTGAACAATGTCAACTGCTAAGATATTCACTAAACAACAGGAGGGTGCTCTGATATTTGGGAAAGAAAAGCACTTACTGGTAGAAAAAAATCTTTCTAAAAAGCCTTTGAACTTGCATTCCAGGTGCTGCAGGCACTGCTGCTGTTGGCATAAATTGCACTTGGTACAACTTAGAGTACATGGTCTGTACATGGCTTCCTGGACAGAATGCAAGTGCTGGTACCAACTACACTCTGTACTACTGGTTTGTATCGATTGGTGGTTTGTTTTTTGTTTGTTCGGTTTTTTTTCCCTGCTTTAAAAGTACTCTGCATACCTCTGACTTAATAATAATAAGAATAATTAATAATAAAAATATTATTTTTATTACCCGTTGCCCTGAAGGATCCCAAAGCTCTAATATAGAGACTAGAACTGTGAGTCCCATCTAGCATGCTGGCTCTTTAGAGCTGATTTGCTTATATGAAGCGTTTGGCCTGCCCCAGAAACTCATTTTTTAAAAAAATTTATCTGTTGGTTTTATCTTCCATCTTTAAGAAACTGATTTATTCCTGGAAGTTATGGAGTAGGATGCCACCTTAACATCTCCAACTCACTTGCCAACTGTCTTCCATAAATAGTCTTCTGTTACAAGACAACAGAGTTGTGGAGAGAGAGAATTTGGCACGGATATTTATATACACTAACCAGTGCGCACACCCCTATATTGATGTCTTTCCTGAAATTTTAGACTTCATTAGTTTCTGCAGAGATATAAAGAGACTTTTTTTGAAAGCTTTCAAAGTTCTTTTTAGTTTTAAATTTACATTACATCTTACTTTCTGTTGACTACATAAAAAAGTTGTCTTTCTCACTCTAATGGTAGATACTAAAATTACTAAGTTTTCTGCAAATGTATTTGGACAGCAAATACCAGCATGTTTGTTACTTGTTAAGCTATACACAGGGAGAAATGACCTTTTCACTGTCCAAAACTATTCACCTCAACCCCTTCTTGCATGTAGCAGTGGTAACCTAGCCCTGGTTCTAATTGGAAAAAATAATTTAAATTTCTAGTGGACTATGCACCTTCTTGGAGTAGCATTTTACACCCCTCTCCTGGAATCCTTTCCTGCCCAACCCATGCTGGGATCATGGATGAATGTGAATATAAGGCCTCTCAGCTGCCTGGGTTGTTGGCATTAGCTGGCAACAAATTCCCACCAGTCCAAAGTGGTATTAGCTGGAATAGAGTCCAGCTGGAAGGAATGAGTACAATATTGATATATCTTTGTACTCAAATTTTCCTGAAAATTCAGGGATGGTTGAAGGTGGTAGGCACTCAACAGGGAGGTGGATAGTGTGGGGTGGGACGGAGTTGGGGGCCTGAAGGTGCATATGTGAGAGGGACTGCAACAGCTTCCCCACCTCCTACACATGGGGGCAGGCAGCATGGAAACTGCACTCCTGTTGTGGTGCCAGAGACAGAGTTTTCCTTCCCTGCTGGAGGTGGGGGGGGGCAGGAGGGAAGACATCTACAGCAGCAGTACCCCAGCTCCTGTGGAAGAGCCAGGAGGTCCCGGCTGTGCTTGTGTCCATAGGGTAAGGTGGGGAAACAAGGAGGAAGGTGTGCAGGTGGCCGTAGTTCTCTTGGGCAGCTGGGGAAGGTGGGTAATTAGTAGCGTGGGTGGCATGGGAGGGACTCTTGACTGGATTAGCCAAACCCTGGGTGACTCTATAAAAGTGGTTCCCAAATTGTGGGGCCCGTCCTCTTAAGGGGGTGAGGAGGAACATTTGGGGGTGCACAGCAGGGCCCAGGCCAGCCCCGTGAGGGTGGGGAAGGGAGAGGCACCCTGCCGTTGGCCTCCAGACCTGCCACACTCCCAGCCCCTGACCACAGTCTCTGCTCCTGACCATGGCTCCGGGGGGCATGGGCAGATTACATTAGGAGTAAGGGGGTCGTGACTGAAAAAGCTTGGGGACCTCTCCCCTATAACTGCTAGTAAATTACAGGAGTAGGACTCGCTACTTTCCATCATTGAGTGGACTAACTTCCCTTTTCGGGGTAGGGGAATGTCAAAAGGAATCAATCAGAGGTGGAATTCTTTTTCCCTGGGGATGTTTGCCCTCCTGGAACAAACTATTTTGAACTAATATTTTTTTAAACATTTTAAAATATAGTATAGAGGTAGCAGAGTTGTCTGTCATGCTTTGAGTTAAAGGGCCCAAGACTTGCTTCTGTTTTGCTGCAGCTTTGTACAGAAAAATCAGTGTGTTTCATGCTTTGGCATTCCTTGAAGTATGAGTGAAATGACACCCTGTGTGTTCAGTCTAATCCCGTCTCTTATTGCTCTAACCTAACCGTCATGCAATGCCCACTTTGACAATCTTGTAAAGCCGATTTAAAAGCACATGTAACCATTGGTGCCCTGGTGTTTGAAGTTAAAATGTGGTATATTTACATTTTATTCTTGTAGGTATGACGGCCTGGGAAATAACCAGCAGTGCCAGAATTATATCTATGGAGATAACTTTGGATGTAATTTCAGTCTTTCCATCCAAAATTCCACAGATGTGTATCCAACTATCAGTATTTTGATCAGAGACAACTCGGAGGAAATTAGGCCTGTCTGTGCAAACAGAAATCCAACAACAATTGGTAGGTTTAAAAGATTATGTAACTTTGCAAAGAGTGTTAGGTTTAAATATCAGTCAAAGAAAAGGGAATGGAATTTGTTTTGATTATGTATTGTTCCGTGCAAAAAGGAACAGCTGGTTTAACCTGACAAGAATACACCCAGGATACATATCTGTATGTATTCTAACAAGAACATTATGTAATGTTCATAAATTGTGCATGAACACTCAAGATTCTCTTGTAATAGGCTGATCATCTTATCCAGATTAAATTGCATCAGTGATGCCTCCGGATGAAACTCAGCACAAAACCACTTTACACTAGCCTAAGATCTGGCCCTTCATCTACAGGAATGGCCCCACTATATTCCCTGCATGTTAATCATCCTAGATGTCTCAGGTCTTCTGGGAGTTGGGGATAGGAGAGCGGATCTGGATAGCATTGGAGCCATTTAAATCCATTCTCTTCAATCTTGAATCCAAAGTTTTGTATTCCCCTGGATATGAGTCACCGGCACTTAGTGAGAACAGCAGATGCATCTGGTCAGCTATCAGCTTGCAATTGAGACTTCTTGCAGGTACCAGATTTTTGCAGTAATAGTGGGAGATTTTTAGGGTATTTTTGCCCTTGTGTGTGTTATCATTCACCTAAACTACACAGCCCCTTGTCCTTAAGGATCCTGGTCTTTCAACCTTCTTGCCAGTCTGTGGCATTTGAAAATTGTCAGGGACCTAGGATTTGTACACAGCTTCCTCTAAATTTATTGTCAAGTAGTCAGTTATTTTTGACAAATGAAGGGCACTTTTTGGTGTATCTTAGGCCACACTCTCTAATGTTGGAACTCTGTGGCTAATCATAGCTCTATGTGGTGTGATGACGAGCTTCTGAGAGGCTCTATCCTATTGCAAGGCAAATGAGCTCATTCAGCATGTTGCTTCTTGGCAGAATATTCTTATTAGTTTGACTTCCTGGTGTGAGAAATTACACTGTATTTTGAAATACCAAGGACTTGACATTACTGAGTAGTGGTTTAACTTACACAATTTTTGAGCCTGCCATCTCACAGTCATGTTCAAATTTCCTAATAATAAAAGCATCATTTTAGTGGTTGGCTTGTCTTTAACATGTTAGCAAATGCTTCCATGTAAACGGAACTTCTGGAGCATGGCCATCCATGCTCCAGACAATAAGACTAGTGCAGAACGATACAATGATTGCATCTTATCTGCTACTTACTTTTTCATGAGATTTGATTTGGGAATTCATCAGAAGTGTTGTTGATCCTGATACAGGGTGACCAGACAGCAAGTGTGGAAAAATCGGGGCAAGGTTAGGGGTAATAGGTGCCTACGTAAGACACAGCCTGAAATACTGTGACTCTCCCTATAAAATTGGGGCATCTGGTCACCCTGTCCTAATATTGAATCTGTCAAGCTCTTCCCTTACTTTTCACTGTCCTAATTGCTGTGCGTGCATTATGCCTTATACTGCTGTATCTAGTGACTCTTTCTTTTTAACTGGTATGGACTTTAATCATATTAAATGTCAAAATAAACTTAGTTCAAAAATTTGGATTTTTTCTATTTCAGTAAAACCTGGACCTCCAAGGATTGTAACGGCATCAATGATCAAAGATGAAATGCACATAGAATGGCAAAACCCAGGCACCTTTCCACCACATTGCTTAGTATACCAAGTAGAGCTTAAAGACAGCAAATCGGGCTCCGTTCAGCAACATGATGTAACTTTTTTTCCATTAATTGTTTACAATGGCACTGAAATTTGTTGCATGTGTTTTTTTTTTATTATCTTCTTCAAACTGTTCAATGCAACACTTGAGTTGCTATTAAGAGCTATAATTGTATGCAGAGCAGAAATGTGTACGTTTTATTAACTTACTTGAAACTGCATATGTGGACATAACTGGTTTTCCTCTCATGAAATGTGGTTCAGTAATATGACCATGCATTGAAACTAATGCCAGTTTTCTGAGTCTCTTGCCTTAGCTACCCATTTACCATAGCAAAGGCTTGGTATGTATGTAATGTACTCTGCAAAACAGGTACACTTCTGAACGGGGTAATAGCTCTTCAGAAACATATAGCACAACTACATTACCCTATGGTCTGTCTCCCAGTCAGATCCTCATATTCATGTACTCTGGTTTTGTGACTTGATTATGACAAAGAAAATGAACATGCTGATTTGTGGTTGTGTGTGTGTAGTAAGCAAGGAGATTTGCGGGTAAGGGAAAGGGGGAAATAATCACACACACAAACCAATACAATTGCACTGATATCAATGTGTGGGTGTGTACTTGCTTGTGTATGCCTGTATCTGAGTAACCGAACTAGGTGTGCCATTAAATCAGTAAGGAAAACAGCTTAGTATGCTAGGTTTCAGAGTAGCAGCCGTGTTAGTCTGTATTCGCAAAAAGAAAAAGGACTTGTGGCACCTTAGAGACTAACCAATTTATTTGAGCATAAGCTTTCGTGAGCTACAGCTCACTTCATTAGTATGCTATCTACTAGTTTCAATGCTTTGTAACTTGGCAAAGCAAGAGTCCTTTCCTGAGGACTGTGTACACAATAAGTTATAAACAAAACTGAATGGTCCACACACCAAAAAAGGCACTAGATGAATTTGTTCAGTCTTCCCTTTTATTTCTCCCATAGGAAAAATGAGAGAAATGGATGCGGTTCTCAAACTTCGTTGTACCGTGACCCCCTCAGATAACAAAAATTACTACACCACTCCAGAATGGGGACTGAAGCCTGAGCCCGGTGGGGGAGGGCAGAGCCCGAGCCTCACCACCCCAGGTGGGGTGCCAAGGCTGAAGCCCAAGGGCTTCAGCCCCAGGCAGTAGGCCTGTAACCTACCTGAGCCTCGCTGCCCAGGGTGCAAGTCAAAGCCTGAGCCATGCCACCCTGGGCTGAAACCCTCAGGCTTCAGCTTCGGTTCTGGGCAGTGGGGTTCAGGCTTCGGCCCAGGGCCCCAGCAAGTCTAATACCAGCCCTGGTGACCCCATTAAAATGGGGTCACAACCCCCTTTGGAGTCCTGACTCTCAGTTTGAGAACCACTGAGATTGGGCATTTGTCCTAAGTTCCATGGAGAATTTGGTCCTTTGGGCTCAGAATAAACATGAAGGTTCTCAAGCATTTCACTTCTCACAGGGATAGGGGCAGACTCTGGTGTAGGGAAAGCTTGGGCAGCAATTCTGCCATCCTGATAGATGGAGGGGAAGGCAGTAGAACTCATGCAGGTATTTGGGGGAGCTTGTAGACCACCACTCCAGGCCATTCAGCCTCAGTTTAACCTTTGATGCTAACACTGGGGTCAGCTAGTTTGAACCCTGATTTCTGAATGACCTTGCTTCGGCAGTTTGGATAATTGTTTAAGGCCAATACATACTGTGAAAATCTAAATTCCTTATCTTTTACCCTTTTATTTTATGGAGTTCAAAAATACAAAAGGCAAATGGGGCTTCAGTCAAAACATTCAGTTTGATTATGTTAAAGCTACACAATGAAACCAGTTTGCAAATGTCATGTATCCTGTCACAAGAAATAAGTAAATATCTTTAATTTCTTTATTTTAAGATTAAAGGCTACACTGAAGCTTGGTTTCCCAGTGTTCATCCTAACACTGTTTACGTCGTCAAAGTGAGAGCAAGGGTTGAAGGAACATGTTACAGCAGCAATCGCTGGAGCGACTGGAGTGAGGAGAAGAGCATTGGTAAGAACACTTTCTTTGAACTGATCTGAATTTTTTTTCTAACTTCAACTTCCAGTCATTAGCCCTCTTATGCTTTTGTCTGCTAGATTAAAGGGCCCCAGAATTGTCAGATTCTTTCTACCTGTGTAGGTACTTACAGCTATGACCAAGTTCCCTCTCTCTTAACACTTCAGTATCTCCGGGTCACTCGATTACAGACCTAAAAGTTGCAATATTACAACAAAAAAACTTCAAAAACAGACTCCAAGGAGAGACTGCTGAATTGGAATTAATTTGCAAACTGGACACCATTAACTTAGGCTTGAAGAAAGACTGGGAGTGGATGGGTCATTACACAAAGTAAAACTATTTCCCCATGTTTGTTTTTTCCCCCCTACTGTTCCTCACACATTCTTGTCAACTGCTGGAAATGGCCCACCTTGATTATCACTGCAAAAGGTCCCGTCCCCCCGCCACTCTCCTGCTGGTAATAGCTCACCTTACCTGATCACTCTCGTTATGGTAACACCCGTTGTTTCATGTTCTCTGTGTATATAAATCTCCCCACTGTATTTTCCACTGCATGCATCCGATGAAGTGAGCTGTAGCTCACGAAAGGTTATGCTCAAATAAATGTGTTAGTCTCTAAGGTGCCACAAATACTCCTTTTTTCTTTTTGAGGATACAGACTAACACAGTTGAAATCTTTGAAGATCGTTAGCTTTACTACGTGAATTTTCATAGCTGTTGCTGTTTTTCGTCTGTCACATTTTGAAAAGTTAGTGGTCACTTCCATTGCTCACAAAAGCATTTGTGAATTTGTAAGTTGGAATATTCTTAGGAGTCTATCATGTAGCCTGAAAAGAAGTGTTTGCATTAAACGTTTTCATTATTCCTGAAGCACTTTGCTCTCTAAATTCTTTGGGATTTTTTTGTTTTGTTTTCCAGGTGAAAACACAGACTTCACATTCTATATTGGTTTAATACTCACTGTTCCATTAACAGTAGCAGTCGCTACTATAATTCTACTAGTGTACCTGAAAAGGTAAATATCCATACCGCTTTTATATTAAAATCTGTTACTGACTGACTTGACTTTTAGAGTTACATTGCAGTCAGTCTCTGCTTTAGTTTACCTTTCATGTGTAGTATGTATGTTTTGACAGTGGTTATCTTCCCTTTATACCTCTGTGTACACAATTAATATGGAGGTGCCAATCAGAGCTCTAGAGTTGACTTTGAGTTGAGGTTTTTTATGGAACAAATATGTTCTGGTTGCAGTAACACTGTGTGTAGTTTATCTCCCTAAAAAAAAAAGGAAGGAAGTTCCTTTCACTCAATGGTTGCAAATGCAGTAGGTGCACACTTGGAGCTCCCATTGACTTCCGGGGGAGTTGCTCAGAGATATCCAAAGACATAGGCGCCGACTTCCACTGTTCCTGGTGGGTGCTCAAACCCCCACCCCACCCGCCCCTGGCCCTGCCCCCATTCCACCCCCTTCACCCAAATCCCCGCCTGTGCCCCACCTCTTTTCCGCCTCCTCCCCTGAGCACATGCTTCCCCCCCCTCCCTTCTGAAAAGTCCTAAGTGCCGCCAAACAGCTCTTTGGCAGCGGGAAGCACTGGGAGGTAGGCGGAGGAGCGGGGACGCGGCGAGGCTCGTTGGGGGGGAGGTGGGGAGGGGAGCTTGGCTGCCGGTGGGGGCAGAGCACCCACTAATTTTTCCCTGTGGGTGCTCCAGCCCCAGAGCACCCGTGGAGTCGGCACCTATGTCCAAAGACAAAATTGGGCCTGTATGTACAACTCCTTTTCCATTCATTATTGGGAATGAAGGTGGAGGTGGAGAGAACGGGGCATGGTCTGGGAGGACAAAAGATGGTCAGAGAAGACGGAGTCCAGCTGACTTTCACTATAACATTCTAAATGCAACTTTGAAATGTTCTTCCTTTGGTTAATTGTTTTCATCGAACACTTTTATTTCTCTATTCTAAAGGCTCAAGATACTAATTTATCCACAAATTCCTGACCCTAGAAAAATTATTAAACGCATGTTTGGAGAGCAAATTGAGGACTTCCAGGTTAGTATCTGCCTGTTTTCTGTCAAGTGATCTCTCAGAATTAAGTCGTCTCTACATTCCCACCTCCTATATTAGTATTTTGCCTTTACATAATCTAAAAGAATTTTAAAGAGAATTTTACACTATATATAGACCAAGTATTTAAGACCATGAGAATTATACAAAAACAAGTACAGTCTAAAACCAAGAGTTTCATGTCCTCAGTTAAGTTTTTTTCTTAAGCAGTGTAAACTTTTTCCCACTCACTAGGTTACTAAATGCCATTATGCTATTCAACAGAGCTTGTGCTTTCTCTTCCAGTTCCATGAAATGGTTCTCTTTGCAACTCAATTAATCTGCTTTTCCAATCTCCCAGTCTTGAGTAGCCCTACAGAGACACACAAAGAATTGGTGTATGGGGTTAATTACGTGCTACTGTGAAGTCACAGGCACTTTGCACCTTTGCAATTGTTATCCTGGTTATGCTACATTTAATTGTGTTTAAATCCCTTTTTCTCTCCTCAAATCTCTGGGCCAATCCAGACACCGCTTGTAGTTCCTTCCTGCCAGCAGTTGGAGAGAGCACATTGAACCTTTCTAGTGAGGCCATTCCCAGTTTATAGAGCAGCTATTGGTTCACCACAGTGAATTGTCTCTGTCTTCTGCATCTGGAAAATAAACTGTCCTTGACAGCTTTATAGAGGACTAAAGAACGATTAAGAAGGTCTCTTCCTGGAGCCCTTGTAGGACTAGGACACCCTGGGCTGAACAGCTTCCACTGAGGGAAGTACTGGTGGGCTCTGGTTCCCAAGGGGTTTCAGATGACTCTGTACAGCCATGGTCTCCAAACTTTTTGGCACGCGCCGCCGATGGAAGAAGACCTGCCGCAGGCTCGCTGCCAACGGAAGAAGACCGGAAGACCTGCTGCAGGTGGGCCGCCAGAGGGGAACACCAGCCTTGGACTTGCAGAGCTGCCGCCGAAGGAAAAAAAACAGTGGAGTGCCATTAGGAGGGCTCCTGCTGCTGCACACCCCCGAGGATCATCTCGCGCCCCAGTTTGGAGACCACTGCTCTGCAGAAAAGACAGGATCAAGTAGAGGAGAGAGCTTCTTCCTCCTGCAGCCTCTCAAGTGGGAGGGAGTTTGGGCAGTGTGAACCCAAGAAGCCCCACTCCCCATAGTGATGGGCAGGCTAGATACTCCCAGTGTAACTCAGCCCAGTGCGGAAGGCTACGTTCAGGCTCGATGCCAGCTCCCCCTGGGTCCAGGCTACAGCATCCAGTGATCACTGAGCCTCTTCTAATGGTGGTTCTAGTTCTACCAGTGTTAGACCTACTGCAATGTTCCTCCCTATCACTATTCCCCGGCTGCCTTCTTCCCTTCTTCCGATCCCAGCAACAACGGCCTCCCACCTGTATGAGCTCAATATCCATGGGGAGAATGGGGAACACACCCTATGTGCAGTTTGGCAGCATTGTGGGACCCAGTCCTGACCTCTGGAATGTCCCGCTTGCATGCCTGCCCCTCTCAGATAAGCAGCTGCAGCAGGGGGAGCTCTCCTGAGACTCTGGCCAACCCTTGGCACCAACCGAAGCCCCATCACTTTCCGAGGAGGAGCAACTACACCCCCACATTCCCCCTCCATAGGACATGCTCTTGGTCCTGAGCTGCCTCTGCTTCCCCCTCTGAGCTGTACACTGCATACCCTGTAAAGCTGACTATTACTGCTAACTAAAAGAGAGACCGAGCCCTGAGGACACTGAAGATCTTCTGTAAAATAATGTGTTGTATTTTCTTTCAGAGCTATCCAGGGGATGACTTTTTGAATGTCCGTAAGCCAGCTATGGAAGAGGAAATCCACTATTTAGTTTGGATAGAGAATCCAGAGAGCTCCACATCTGATAATGAGGACCGAGAAAGACCTGCTTTACAAGTGAAAGCCTTGTGAGGAAGACTTCTTTGTTGCTCTTTGTTTACCTCGGAGGATTTCTGAATATTGACAGTGACTTGTCTGCAAGGCAGACACCCACATTCCAAACAGCAAACACCTGCTGAAAACTCACCTCTCTGGTGACACTCGCAAGATAAAATGCTGACCGTTGCCACCTTCCATCTCTGCTAAAAATGCTACCCAGAGCCACCACAATATGCATGTACATAAACCATGCAACTGGACCCACAGCAGTGCCCCTCCTTCTGCCTAAGCCCAGCTCTTCTGACTACGTGCCTTTCTTACTTCTGCTCATGCCTCACATTTGGACTGTAAGCGGTTTGGAGCAGAAACTGGTTCTTCTGTGAAGCACCTTGCTCAGTTCGGTGAGAAGTAAAACAATAAACAACTTGTTTACAGCTTATCACTGCTAGAACATAGGAACTGCCAAGAGATTGGGTGGACCATTTAATCTGGCTTCCTGTCTCTGACAGTGGCCAGTTCCAGAGGAAGGTGCCATAAATCTTAGAGAGTATTTATGGAATAACTACCTGTCTGTAAAGGAAGTTTTTTCCTAATGCCATCTGTTAGTGGCTGCTGAAACCAAAGAGGACCATTTATATCCTTTCTTTAAAATATATGTATATACACAAGTCTCCTAGCATAACAGTGGATGTTGTCACTAACCACACAAGTGTTTTTAATCCTTTTTGAATTCTACAAAGCTCTTGGCCGCTAATATCTTTTTGACGGTGAGTTTCATCAGTTAATTATGCTTTGTTTAAAAACCACTGCAGTCTCTCACTTGAAATGTGTAGCCTTTCAGCTGCTGCTGCTGGGACTGGTTCTCTCCATGTACCCCTGTATAACCTCCCATGCTGGGGAGAAGGTGAAAGCCCACTTCTTGGGAATAAGCCTCATTCTTCCCCCTGGTTAACAGTGATCCTATTTTGTTCTTGGTTTTCTCCTCTGAGAACTTGAAAGCTATTTAACTTTCTGACTTTACTTCAGCCTGTCTCTGCTGATGGTATTTATCTTTAGTGATTGTACATCATAGACTTTAAGGTCAGAAGGGACCCTCATGATCACTAGTTGATTGTTCATAATATTCTCCTAAACTATGTTTGAGGTTGTTTTCGCCATGCTTTCCTGCTGTAAATTCTAAGCATAACCTAATGTGTGCTTTTATGCTTCAAATAGGGTTACTCCCTGGCCATTATTATGTCTCCTAAAGATGGGGAGAAAGAACTGCAGGAAAAAAATCATATCGGCTGGCCTTACGTGGTGGATTAGGGATTTTCTCTCTCCTCTAAATCCCCTTGGCAGCCTCCACTACGAAGTGCAGTCCAGTTAGCTGATAAGAGACCTAACTCTAAACAAATTGGAACAGGCCACCTCAAAAGTTTCATTGGAAGCCATTGGGACTGAAAGGGACCTCGTGGGTCAGTAAATCCAGACCCCTGCGAGCCCAGGCAACCCTGTCAGATCATCCTCTTCATATGTGTGTCAAGCCCCAAAACAAGGATGCAATCTCAGGGATTTTAATAAAAGGTACAGCAAAATGCTCAGCCTCTGGAAAACTCTAACATCAGCTAATAATAGGTTGTTCCAGAGGGAGAAGAGTTTTAAAGAATATCCTGTCCGTTAAATTCCCTTTCCAAGCTTCAACCCCCCCCCACCCCCAAACATTCATTGTATATATTCTAAAGATATTCCCTTTACTTCTCAGACCTTACCATAGTTAGAATGATCTACCTCAACTAGAATGGTATTAGCTCTGGCATCACGGTGTGACTAGGAACATCAGACGACCGTGTAAGGGAGAGCAATCGATAGCTTTTCTGTAAAGGTTGGATTTTTTTCTTACCAATCAAGGAAGAAAATTATTGGCACTTTGCCACAAATTCTTTTGAGTTAGCTTCTGTGGTGTTTCTGGCAAAACTGAAGCTTATTAAAGAGAAGAATTCTGTTTGGTTTTGTGTGTTTTTTAAGAAGTAGGGTAGTGCTAGGCCAAAAGGAACCTTTTATTTTTTTTAAATGAAGAGATAAATGTAGGTCCTGATGAGGATGTTGTGAATAATTTTTTTGTTTCCTGACTGAATAGTGAAGACACTTCCCGGTAAAATAATGTTTTGTGTTTATTCCGTACCATACCACACCACAATGCAATGTGAGTACACTTGAATTGCTATTTTTTTCTTTGTCCATACGCCATTTTTTAGTAGACTTCTTGATAAGTTTGGGATTTTGTTTTCAGCTTTTGTAATGATGTGAATCTTCTAACGTTTGTTTGTTTGTTTTCCTTTATTATAGTTAGTTGATTGTGATTTTGTTAAAAGGATGAATAAAAATATATTTGATTAACTGTTGCATTTCAGTTTAATTGAATAGCTTCCTTGTATTTTAATCAGAGGGTAAATCGAGAGACTGAAAAAATGGGAGCTGTTTAGTTTAGAGAGAAGATAAGTAAAAGGGGATGTGCTAGAGGAATGCAGAATAGTGAATGGTACACAGAAGGAAAAACGGCCATTCTCATTTACTATTTCTGGTGTAAACAAGCTAAGATAATGCAGAAGCTGGCATTTTTCACTTGGGTGTTCAGGCAAAAAGAGGGGATGTACAAAGAACCTTAGCTATCATCTTGTGTATTTCCATTTAAGTAGTCTGTAACTAAGTCAGCATATACTGCTTCTCAGTAATACAATAGAATATCATACAGACACCTTCAAACTTCAATGTGTGTCACACTGTTGAGAAGATCAAGTAGGGTTTAAGATGTTGTTTTAAATCATAGGGGGTTTTTTATTACTGCCCCATATTAGCAGCAATTTGGGTCTCACGTTTTGTTACCAGGAACCTGTTAAAGTCTGATCATGTTTCTTCTTTAGGCAGAAAAAGCAAGTACGCAGTAGGGGTGAGAGGGAGAGAAAAGATTGAAAAGTAGGAAAATGCAGCTTCTGTCTGATGCTTGCAGTTCCATAACTAGAAAACCACAGACACGTATCCACAACTGGGACCTGCAAATATTCTACCAGAAAATTAGGCTGCTTAGGGATTGACAAACCAAAAAACAAACTGGTCATAGCAAAATGTTGCAAGGTTAGATTTGTCCTCGCTGGCCAAGTTCAAATCTTCTCAGATGACCATGAGCAAGGCACACTGTCCGACAAGAGGGTGATGATAGGAACAGTAGCATCACTGTTTGGAATTCAGCCACCTTTTTGTAAACTAGCAAAGGAAAAGTTTCTGAAAGTTAGGAGTGACTGAAACCAAGGATTAGAAAGGAAGACACTAGTTTAAATGTAGCAGTTGTTGGAACTTTTATGATAACAAAAGTGACAGGCAGTGGGTATTGCAGGCTGGAAAGAAATGGGTACGTAAAAGGAGCATCCTTTATAAGAAGTATAATTAGAGATTAAATAGATATCAACCTTTTGTTACCTTTAGAGCTCTGTGCACATGTGGCAACAGAATCCTGTACGGTTTTGAAATGTCGTCATCTGGCCCTCCCACAGGAATCTAGCCAGGTAAACACTGCTTCCTGTCACCTTGACGCTGATTTGAGATGAAATGGGGTCTCTTCTTGACACTAGCACGAGGTGGCAGTGCAGTTACTTTTCATTCACATTGCAGCTGGAGCGTTCTACCCGCTTTCCAGTGCAGCTGACGCCCCCTTTCTCCTTGTGCAAAATGTTAAAAAGTGCCAAGAACTTTTTAAAAAGACAAGGAGGGCTTGTGGCACCTTAGAGACTAACCAATTTATTTGAGCACAAGCTTTCCTGAGCTACAGCTGTTACTCTGAAACCCGTCAAGAACTTTTTAGAAAATGTCATTTAGGCTGTCTTTAAAAGTGCACAGCTCCCTAGCTCTTTAAATGACAGGACAGTTGTGGACCCCGTTAATAAAAGTGCCTTTTTCCAAATTCGCTTAATCCACTTTGGAAGTGCATTAAGATTAAACCAAAAAAAAAGGAAATTCTTGCCCTGGATTAAGAGGGTCCATACACAGCGTTACTCCGGAATAGCTATCCTACTTTAGATTCACACCCTATTTTACACCAGAGTAACTTTCATGTAGAGACATTCCCCCCCAGAATAAAGGGAATTTGAAAAGCACAGAGCTGTTAGTGCTTACTCATAACTAAGGAGATGACTAGGTCATGGAAGTCACAGATTCCATGACTTTACCGGAGCTCTGTGACTTCTTTGGCTTCAACTGTCCGTAGCTGCGGCTGGAGCTGGGGCTGTACGCCCAGGGCTGGGGCCATGCACAGCCTTGCAGCCGGAGTTGGGGCTGTTCTCCCCCCCAGCCCCCATGGCAGCAGGGCTCAGGCTGTCATTACACACACACTCACACACCCTGATTATTTTTAGTAACAGTCACAGACCAGTCACTACTCCCATTAATTTTTGTTATTGTCTGTGACTGTTACTAAAAATAACCGTGACAAAATCTTAACCTTCCTCATAACTAGTTTTCGATGTGCTTTTATTCCATAAAAAAACTTCTCTCTGTCACTCATTCTGCAGGGTTTTTCCTTTGAAGAAACAGTAAGTAGAAAACTGAGACCCTGTCACTTATGCTCTAGACTTTAAAAGGTTACATTCACCTTAGCTTAAGTCCAAAATCTTGATGGTTGGTGGGTTTTTTGTTTTTTTTTTTAATTAACCCTGACATGAGTAGCACAGGTTTAATAACTTATTGACAAATTCTTTGCAGTGTTGTGAGCTCAATCATACCAGGGATGTGCTAGAAAACCACAGGCCTATGGCTACAGTATAGGACGAGAAGCCAGAGACCAGACTGCGGGGGCTTCCTATGTCACCTGGGCAAGTCACTTAATCTGAAGTCAATGGGAGCTTCAGGGGCTCGGTACCTGGAGAGATGTTATTCTGGAATCTGACTTTAAGCACCCCGGTCTCTAACCTTTTGGTCGAGGAGCTTAAAATACAATATTGATTTGATTTTTTTCCCCCTTTATTAGTATTTAGTGCGTTTCCATTCTGAGATGATTTGTGCGCCTTCGTCAGTCTCACTTTGGATGCTATTTTTCCCGCTCCACAAACCTATCCAGCAGATAAGGCAAAAATGTAATTTCAGAGTCGTTAAATGTGAGAATGAGCTCCTAGCATGTTTGATTTTTAGATGACTCCAGAATGCGAGGCATTGACCTGCTGACATTAGTTTATGTATACCTAGGTTGAATCACTCTTCTCCCTGTTAGCTGGCCAGTGCTGTAATGTAATCTAAGTAGTGATCTGTAACACTGTGAGACCTGCTTAGAGAAGCAAAGTTACTATATAGTTACAATGGGTTCTTATTGCCCTATCTGAATGTATTGATCTAGTATAATAGGGGGCTGGAGGAAAAACAAGCGGGAAGACAGCGCAATGATGATGATACCCCAGCACACACTTGAAAGACGAAGGGGAAAGTTGTTAGCTTTGAGGATCCTACGTCTCGCCTCTGATGAAGTGACAAGCCCTGTTTTGCCAAGTCTGGGAGCCAAGAGATGAAAAGGGCACCAGACAGTTGAAAAGCCCCTCTCAGGAGAGGTAAGGGGGCTGTCCTGAGGAACAGGCTGCGTGAAGAGGTTGGGTCTACAAGGCTGACATCAGGAGCTGGTGAGCTCTACACAGATAGGCCTCGGTAGAGGCTGGTTTGTTGTTTTAGGTCTGTTTTCTCTGAATGCTGTTGTGCAAATCAATATACTTGGCTTTAAGGAGGCTGTCTGGTCACTAGATAAACTGTCACTGCTCCTGGGGGGACTAGAGCTGCAGATATTGCACCTAAGTCAGGCCTGCTGAGGTAATCATGGTAGGTCACAGGAGACCTCCATCCAGGGCCTGATCTGAGAGTGACATGATTTCACCCCTACTGAGGTGACAGTGTGAGGCCTGAGAGGGGAGTGGCCTCAGGGGACTGAGCCCCGGTAACTGACCGGTGATCACAAATAAGTCACTGCAAAACCGGGCATTATTTTCACTTGGTTGCTAAGCCAAGATTTTTGTCTCCTCTGTCTTCAGTCCAAATTACTCTACCAAATATGGTAAAAGGCCAGCATAAGCTTGTGCTAGGGAACAAGAATACATGGAGCGAGGTAAGACAGGGCACTGTGTACATATACACCAGATAGGACTGGAACGTTATTTATCACTGTTTAGAGTTCTCTCAAGGATGTTTTAAAGGCCTTGTCTGAAGAGTTAGCACATTACAGAATGCTGTAAACATGTGGCAAAAGTAAACATCATAATTTAAAAGATGCTTCTGTCTACGTGATACTTAAAAGTGCACATGGCAAACAAAAGGAAGTATTTTTTTTCACACAATGCACAGTCAACCTGCAGAACTCCTTGCCAGAGGATGTTGTGAAGGCCAAGACTATAACAGGGTTCAAAACAGAACTAGATAAATTCATGGAGGATAGGTCCATCAATGGCTATTAGCCAGGACGGACAGGGATGGTGTCCCTAGCCTCTGTTTTCCAGAAGCTGGGAATGGGTGCTAGGGGATGGATCACTTGATGATTACCTGTTCTGTTCATTCCCTCTGGGGCACGTGGCACTGGCCACTGTTGGAAGACAGGGATAGTGGACTAGATGGACCTTTGGTCTGACCCAGTATGGTGGCCAGAGGTGAAAGTAAGCCCATCTGGTCCAGTGTACTGGTAAAAGCCGGTACACAGCTGACTGCACTGGCAGGGCTGATGATGATGGGGGCCAAAAGGCAGCTTCCCTGGGACTGGCAATTTAAAAGGGCCCAGGGCTCCCGGCAGTGGCTGGAGCCCTGGCCCTTTAAATTGCCCCCAGGGCTCTTGGCCACTGCTACCATGGGGCTCCGGCAGCGATTTAAAGGGCCTGGGCTCCTGGCCCCCGCTACTGCGCCAGCAGCCGGAGACCCAGGCCCTTTAAATCACCACCAGAGCCCTGGGGTAGCGCTGGTAGGGGCAACCAGGAGTCCCGGGCCCTTTAAATCGCCCCCCAGTGCTGAAGGGTTGGCTGGGGGAGTCTGTCCCCAGACCCACCCCCGCCCCTTCTGGTTGAGCTGCCCCCCACACCTTGCTCAGGATCCCGGCCACCCTGAGTACCGGTAAGTCCCTTACGTTCCTTTCACCCCTGATGGTGACTCTCATGTTCTTATGTCCTCTCCGTTCAAGCATGGGAATGAAAGTGGGAAGGGTACACGGAGAGAGAAGATGGCGGCTGTGCTAATGCCAGTTACTGCTGTGTAAGGGACCTACAGAACTGAGCTCAGGTTTTCAGATTAATGTCCGTGACTGGTGTTGGGATATTGTAAAACACCACGGACATGTCCCAAATTAATAACAGTGTGTCTCTAAAATCCATTAAAATCTAAAATGAAGG